CTGGCCCTTAGGTGCTCAGTGTGAATCGGAGTTTCACCTGTGAGTATTTGTACAAAGGCCCATCTAGGGATTCACTGCAAACTAGCTTGGGTTAAGAATGCTATGGGACACTAGGAAAGAGGGACAGACAGAACTTTGCTTATGAGTCAGGAGGGTCCGAAACAACTTCAGGATACTTGTATTTATGCCACAATAAGAAGCATTGTTCAAGACTGCATTATAAGCAAGTCTTCTACCTGTCAAACGACTCTAAATTACAAAGCAGCTGTAATGTCATGAAACACATCGCGTCTCTGTCTGTGCAACAATGTGCAGCTGACAGACTGATCAAAGGGCTACAATGCTGACAACACAAAAGCTTGTATTGAATGTCAAGTAGTGATGGTTGTTTTGCAGCCACAAGCCGTAATAATCAGCGAGCTTCTGCAGTCGACTGCATGAGTCAGATCCGTTTTCATACCCATTGTATTCAGTTAGTCGCCTCTTTGAGAGGTCTGTTCATGTAGTACACAGTGATCCCAATAACTGCCACACTCTGGAGGAGAATTAATTTACCATCTTTACCAGCTTTACACACCTGCCACAAGCGCTCTGTGAGCTAGGCTCAACACTGTGAGATTACACAAATATGCCTGTCCTCATACCTGAGCTAGAAGTGGATGCACTTGAGATTTGTTCTCAGAGACAACGTTATTGATTGCATCATTTTAGGAGTTTCTCTCCGTCTGGCAGGTTTCAGTAACTGGGGCATAACAACAGTCACAGATGCAAAAAATAGACCAAAGACAACTACAATGTGTGCCAGTTCCTAGCCTCAGACAGATATCCTGCAGACATCCTTGCCAGTTTTTCTTGGGTGAGATAAAAGGCATTTTCACCCAGATCAGTACTTAACACAGAGGTCAGCTCTGCCCTCGGGGCTAATGCCTCCTACCAATGGAACTTGTGAAGCCTATGAGGTGAGGGTTTTCACACAGAGCGTTGAGCGCACAGTTGGCTTTGTGTTGAAGTGGTTTACCTCATGAAAACACTGTTGTTAAGCAACCAACAAGGATAATGGATGGATACTTCTTCAAATATGGAGAATTATGCATCGAGTTCTCGCCATTTCAATGTCACACTTACTAATTAGAAGAAAAACACCTCCAACAACAAATGCCAATAGCTTTTACAAGCCACAGCATTTTCATTTAAGAGCTATCTCCATTTACGATGTTCTGAATACCACGACAATAGGTAAATAAAATGGGCGTAACTTCACATCAGAAACTGACAAAACTGTTATTGTCAGGACCTACTACAGTACTACAGTAACCACTACTTGCCATTCAGATCATTGTGAATGAAACTTTGAAGAGAAATCAGATACCTTGAGCTCTTTTTTCCCCCCAAAAGTGTGGACTCTCCCTCAAGTGTGTAGGAAGAAAAACCATGTGTTACAGGAGCACAAGGGGGGGGGGGGGGTTGCCCAGGACGCAAAGCTCAACATCCTCTTACTGGATAAACAGGTTTTTATTGCTGTGGTTTTACCAGCGCACACATAGACATGCACACACATGCACAGAATCTCTCTGGATGGCCTCTTAATAGCCAGCAGTTTAAAACTACTAGCCTAATTAAGATTATGTCAGATGCAATTAAGTTTAGAAAGAAATAATTACACAGCATCGTGTGCCCTTTTACGTAAAACCTCTGAGTGCCTGATTTGCCTCTCCTGTTAATGTGTTTAAAGGCTTCCTATAAACAACCAGACCCAGAGGTCAGTAGGTGGGATAGTAAATGTGCCAGCTATTTGAGACAGCTCCAATTGGAAATTAGATCATTAGATGCAAATTATTTCATACATTTCAGTTAAGGTGGTCTGGTAAACGGAGAGGGAGATTCATGTCTTGAAAGTGAAGAGGAAAAACTTCACTTGAGAAGAAACAACAGCCTAAAAAATCAGCAAAGAGCATAATGGATAGTTAAAAATATTAATTTAGCCATTAATTATTGACAGAAGCTGCGCGCTATAACTTTTGCCAACGATTTGAAGTCATCATAACACATTAAAACACAAGGCAGAAATGTGACAGGAAATTGTAGTTTTTTTTGCACAGTAAACAACACAGCTTCACAACATTAAAGCTGCACTGTAGACTGAAAACTACTTGTGTTCGTTTCATTACAATGATGGTGGTTTTTATATCAATGTGTGGACTGTATGCACCTGGTCTTCCACCGACACCCGGTACACAGTAAATGGTTAATATCCCCTGGTTAATATACTCTGATGAGGTTCTTGCTCTGTTCTCATTGGTAACAGGATTAAGGAGCAGAACATCTTTGTAATTTGCTAGAAACAGCAAGCAGGGCTTAAACCTCAAGCAGATTTTCACATTAATAAACACTTTTCTACTAACAAATGAATCACCCTTGTCAACAGGTTATACCCACACACATGTATTAGTGATTTAGGGCGCCTCCAAATATGAGGCCTCGCTTTAAGAATGAGATGTGCCATCACAGTCCTCTGTTGCTTGCCGACTGCACTTCCAAAAATATGGGGTGAAACAATAAAATATATATTTTCATTTGCAAACATCAGCACATATTTATAGCTAGGATTATCATATCTAAAATATTAATGTATAAGAAACAACAGGAGACTAGGAGCAAAAGTCTTGGAAGTCAGCAACAAAACAGACACCCCATTATCAAAACTCAGAGGTGTCAATTCACAAAACATGAGGCATCTCGTGAAATTATACACCAGCCCACTGTAGCATTACAGAACACTGTGCTGCTCCAATCAGCCTGTCCTCAGCTGTCAGTTCAAGGGTGAAAACTAAGAAGAGAGCGCTTATTTAACAAACTGCTATTCTACAGAAAATCAGAATCAGCACATTGTTTGAAGCTCAGCACAATGCTGAAAAACAGCAAAGTCTGATATTTTTATTTTTCATTTAGTCTTCATGAATAAATGGTTTGCTGATGTCTTTGCATAACACTCAAGGGTGAAAGAGTCATTCTCTTGATGCTTAGTTAAACTCTTTTAAGAAATGCAAAAAGGAATATATAAAAAAAACAAAAAAAGAGAGATGCTTTTTAAACTTTAAAGAGATGCCCGCCGCCTGTGGGTGCCTGTGCATATACATATGTAAATGTGTTTTTGTTTGCTTGCGTGTGTTTGAGATTTCAGGCAGGCTGGCAGACAATAAGTGGAAGTGTTCCCCCGTCCTCTGCTGTGTTTAATTGGTCAAACAGACCAAAGTGAGCGAGGTCTTGTTGTCCAAACAATAAGGGCTTGTGTTCCCTGAGCCTGAGCGTGGGGAGGTCAATGTGAAACAACAACACGCCACTCCACGTCTCTGCAACAACAATTCAGCAGCTTCAACAGCAGCAGAACGCTGAAACAAAAGCTGCTGAATTGGATCCTCAACCCAACAATTCAGCCTCACAAGCCGGCAATTACTGCTGAGCTACTATTTAAAAAGGAGTAAAATCCACACACTTATTTGCTTACTTCTACAGAAAAGCACATTCCACTCTGAGTTGTGCTGAGATCATCCCCAATGGCAGATAGATTAATTGCTATTTTAAAAACAGGAAGCAGCGGAGGTCTGAATGAAATAGTGCGTAGCAAAGTGTCGGACGCCCAAGTGAAGCACCTGTCAGCCTGAGCAGGTGTATGTCTGGCTGCCTGCCTCAATCCTTCACAAACACTGGTTAAAAATAAAGCCACAACCCTCAACCAGGTACGGCGAATCAGGGAGCTTAAAGTGAAGTTGACACTGAGCCCAGATATGGATTAGCTGAGTAAAACTGACATTAGACGGCAACGACTTATCTCGGCTCTGCACATATCAAGCAATCTGTTTTTACAATTAAAACTTTTCCTGATTGAAACCAGGAGGAAATGATCCATTTGCTCACGCGTCACCTAACGTCTACAAGCTTTCCCTAACTTAGAGAGCAGAGGCACACTAACACACATAACACACACCGAGCAGCTCATGTGGGAAATTCTATTTTTACCATCAGGCAGGGCGAGGCTCTGCCATACAGCACACAAAGTAGGGAAACTATAACAAGGGGGGGCGGGAGACAGTGGAGGGCTGTCAGGGAACAAAGCGGAAGTGTCCTTCCTCCTGATGACCTGCAAGTTAAAGGAAGAACACAAAGTGTACTCTGTGCACATGCAGTGCAATGCAGCTGGAAACTGGGGCAGATGCATGTTATTTCTCCCCCTTTAACTGTGGGAATAATCATTAAGCCAGAATCCTTACAATGACTTCTCCTAGGAAAGTGGTTTATATGTAGATGATTGCCCTTTCTTCTCACAGTCCACTGCATATGTTCCCACTCTATTTACCTTATAGTGTGTCTTTTTCTCAATGTTTCTCCTGTTTTCCTCCACTGTACACTGACATCTATTGCGTGTCTAACATCCTAGAAGAAGGATCCTTCCTCTGTGTGTTTTTCCCCATTAAAAGGATTTGTTTTGGGAGTTTTCACTTATCTAAATCAAGGGTTGTATGTTGTACAGCCCTTGTAAAGCCATTTGAGGCAAATTTGTGATTTATGATTTTGAGTTATTTGCTGTAAATATAACCAACTTGACTATAACTGCTCTTATCCTGGCTCATCCTTGAGCAGACAGACCAAATTCACTCACACTGATGTACAATAGCTGAGGTTATTAGAGTATGAAGCATGAGGGATGGGGTAGAAGTGTAGTGGAGGGCAGTTTATTTTCAAATTGAATAGAGGTGACCCACTACTCTGAGTAGACAAAGATTTATAACAGCTCTTCCAAAATTAGGTGCAAGATGCATATTCTCACCATACACACTACTCTGGTTTATTTTATTTTGAAAATGTTTTATTTTTTTCTGGATTAAACATATTGTCAGGCAAACATACATGGTAGGGAGAAAATAAGTATCCTTGGTGGATGTTTGCCTTATCAACTCATGGAGAAGGAGGACTACAATCCCGGTTCCACCAGAGTCACTCACCTCCTCCAGAGCAGCCACTGTGTTCCTGCAGTGGGACATCCTTGTGGTGAAGTTAGAAGCAGTCGGCGATTTATAGTCTTCATTCGTCTCTGCCACAAACTCTGAAACTGTGATTTGGTCCGGCATAATTAATCCCTTTGCTGATTAGAAGAAGAAGCACTTTTCTTAATCCTCTCCCTCTCGTCAGTACAGTTTTAGGGTAGAAAAGTTCACAGCAGTAGTAGTTGCGGAAATGTCTCTGAAGGTCCCCGCGGGTAGTAAACCATCTCTGGGTATGTTTATGTCATTCCCTTGTTTGCTCCCAACACAGTTCAGTGTTGCACGCTGGCTCGAGGAGGAGTTGGCAGCGTTGCCGCTCTCACCGCGCTGCGCTTACAAGGTGATGGATAGGTTATATCCCTCCTGCCTTTTGGCCCACTACTCCCTTTCCATTCAGTTGCACAGGTCGTCCTCTGCTCACAGAAGAAAGTGAAGCTTCCTCTAGCCTCTCTCGGTTTTCCCTAACCTCTGACAGCGCGGGGCGAGTAACTTCTTCCTCCGAGCCCGGGGAAACAACAACCAAACGTTTCAACGGGAGCGCAAGAAATTGACAAAGGTAGAGGAGGGGATTCAATGGACGCGCAGCAGCCAATGGGGAACACCGGCTGGTAATTGGGAGCCAATCAGAATTCATGGAAGGCGTGAACTCGTGTTGCCTTCAAATGCTCCTCGTAAACCACCACATCCTGGTAGTAGTGGCAATTTCAGTTAAACCACCAAGTGGCGTTAAACTGTAAAATGTTTTCATCATCAAATTAATCTGTTAGATAAAAATATATATACTTAAAACCTCATAAAACCTCATAAAAATGGGCTTAAAGTTGGTACATGCACTGAGCACACATATTGATACTGTGCATTTTCAATGAAAGCAATGTAAGAGTCCTCGTGGTTCAAGGGGTCCAGTCTTGAATATTAGGTCATATTAGGAATACACATGTCAAGAAGAGTTAAAACTAACAAAGTTAAAAAATTTTCATATATTGATGTAAACAAGCTGTGCAGGGGCAGCACAATTCCCTATGTTTATTCCATGAGCTGATATTTCTTGCTTAATGAAAACGTTTCTCATTAAGAGTTTACATTATTTTTTTGTAACTCTTGTAATTAGGTATATGCAGCATTTTGTCCAGTCCTAAGGTCAAGTGGTTATGTTTATGGTTTCCAGCACTGACCACCTGCATGTAAACTCGGACTGCATGTAAGCTTTTGTAGTAATCTAGAAAACCTATTTCAGTGCAAACAAATTCACTGGTTTCCATGTCCATGAAAATATAGATAATGCAGGTCTGAGGCCCAATGGGGAAACACTTTTAGGCCTGTGTTTAGTTTACACAGACATCTATGGAAGTTTGAGGCTTGTTGAGATTTTGATTAATGGCTATCACTTGTTACACATCCCAGAAGTAAATAACAATGTCTTTTGACCATAGATAGTGTTAATGGCATTCTGGCTGTCTGGCAGTCTGTATAAAAGGTAACTTATGCATTTCTGTTGTTACAGTATACATCAAAAATCAACAACCCCACTCTAACTTTCTGTTGTAGTATTGGGAAGAAGACAATCAATCATATTCAACTTCATTCATTAATTTCCAAATACTGTAGCGCATGTGGCACCAACTCAGATCACAGATTTCCCAAATATACATATATATTCCACTCATTTGGGCACTTGATTAATCCAATGCGGTGAAGGCTATGTGTAATACAAAAATCCGACAGCACCTAAAAGCAGCATCTTGATTACAACACCACAAGTAGTTTCTTTCTTAAGGTGGAGATAGAGAAGCAATTAACAGTGTAAAAATGATGCAGTATCATAGTGCAAGGATTGTAGTATTTAATTAAAAGTTTTATACATAATAAAAACTACACTGCCATTGAATTTGATTACTAAGACCTTACAATAGGCAGCCTTCCTTTGACTGCATGGGAGTATTAGATGCAAAATGCTTTATCATTTATTCTTGTAGTTCTTGGAGAATGTCAAATGTTCAAAGAGTTCATTAACTGCATTTCCTGGATTAGGAATCAATTAAGCCTCAACAGCACAAACCTACTGCCTCATCAAGATGTAAATACAGGTGCACTGTACTGTATCTAATATAACCTTCTAACTTGCGATTGAGTAATATTTTTTTACACCTCTGATAAACAGAGAAAAGAGATCCAGACATTGGTGATAAACCTCAGTAGGATCAGCACTAAAGCTGGTAATGAAACCAATTAGTGTGCTATCACAATGCACCAGATGAAAAGACTAATTAGACCACTAATTAACAGAGTACTATCAATTTTGTATCTTTGTGTGCTCCAGAGTTTACATGAAAGTAGCTGCTGTATTACAGAGGCCCCATGTGAGAATATGTTTGGCTGTTTTTAATAGGCCACAGCCAAAAATAAAAATGAAAAAAAAGACCATATCTCTCCAAATCCTGTTGGGAAAAAAGGCGGAGGAGAAAGAAAACATTCTATCATTAGGCACAGCCTGAAACTTGTGAAGACTCTCTCCCATGCCTGAATTTTTGTCAAAGGGAGTTTAAAAAACAACAGCTTCTGCTCCCCAAGCTTTTTTTTTTTTTTTTCCTGGACTTTGGGATGAAAAATCTGCTGAATGTTTCCCAGCTCATTCAGCATCGGCAGGATGGCTACCGGTATAAATAGTATCGCAGCGGCCGAGGCAAAACCATGGGCAGCCTTTAAATCACAATCTGGGCAGTGTTCACACATTCTTTCAGCTCTGCAGCGTCTCCTGGCAAGCTGCTAAATGAGGAGCCCAAGACCCAGGCTGACCCTGACTGGCTACTCAGGCCTGAACTCCCTTATGAAATGAATACACATGCACTCCCAGTGAACATCTGCTATCCAGAGACACAGCAGCTCAGTCAGTGAGGTCAGCAGATCCAAACAACACCAGCCTTCCTCTTCACCACTGACATGGCTTCATGTTTTCAGTGCCATCTGCCTTTCTAAATGCAGGTGGTTTCAAACTTTAAATCAAGACCAAAGAAAACTAAAAATATCTAAAGTGTGAGTGCTGCATCACTTTGATTTTCCTCTTTTTGAAAAGCTGCACTAGAAGCCAAGATGAATAGTCATGTCATCCAGCAGGTACAGGCTGAGAACATTATATGAAAAGCACATTGTTTTATATTTTATAGGACCTGGAAAAGTGCAACCAGGCATATCAATGAGGGATCATAAAAATGCCGGACAAGGAAACACTGTGACTGTAAAATGTACTGCGTCATGAATCTTGCCTTTAAATAAATGATCTATACTGTACTTTTGTTTTATCATATAATCATCAATGTTTTTATTTTTACATTTTACAAGCAAGCTGTATTTGCTGCGCCCAATGAAAAAAGGTGCCAGAGCAGAAGCTGACAGCTGCTTTATTAAGCCGAACAGAGGCCTCATTCAGCAGCAGAGCCCATCCTCAATATAGACCTTGTTTGCATGCAAACAACTTACTTACAGCCAAGTCAGAGTGGCAGTTGTTGGATCTGTTTCAGTTACGGCTGCTGTGTTTGAACATCTTCAACTGATTTAAAGCTCCTCAAAACTGAAAATGTCCATATTATTAACTGTTTTGGTGCACAATGTGTTATTATTTTCACTTTCCTTTAAAAGCAAAGTCGGTCTGATGATGAAAAACTGAAACCAAGTGCAACCAGACAGAATAAAAGCCAAAGCAGATGTAATACTGTACCCAGAGACCCTCTTGGAAAAGCTGCTTGTAATTTGTAATTGTGGATTTCACTCAGAGAGGAAAGCACAGGGTGTGTCAGTCCACCCATTCTTTGGTCCAAATGAGCCACAAACATCCAATATATAGTTTTACTGATTTGGCATTTGAATGTTAGCAGGAACAGACAACAAGTCATAGCAATAAAGAGGATTGCGGATTTGAGTAGGAGTCACTTTTTCCTAATTACTCTGCCATGACATCATGATTGTGTAACAGGTGGGATAACCTCACAATCCAGCTTCTTATGTTTCAAACAAGTGGAATGAATGACTTCTTTGTTTAAAATAATTAGCGCCTAATTCTAACCATCCAGCAGCTGAAGTTTTCCAACACATAAGTAGATGAAATGGGCCAAGCTCAGGTCCGCTGCTGTTAACATTGTGATGTGGGGAACTTTTCTCAACTTCTCCCAGATCCCAGACCACATTACTGACATAAAGACTGCATTAAGAGAGAGCTTGTTACACAAATGAGCTAGCTGCATATTGGCATGAACTGAACAAGCAGTGCCCGGTGAACCTGAGCGGGATGAAGAGAAGAGTTGGGGTGGGGGTGGGGGGGGGCAACTGGGGGGCGAGGAGCTCCAAGGGGAGGGCAGTGAACTGTAACAGACCTTGTCTTTTCTCAAAAATTCCCAGAGATGAGGCTCAACAATGAGTCCTGGCAAGCTCCTATATGAATGGATGCTCTGTACAGACATGTCCCTGTTCACAGAAAGTGAAAGTTATCATCATGTAGTACTATACAGCGGTATTCAAACAGTGGCGCTAAATTTTTCATCAGTCACTCAGACTCATACATTATCTTCAACCCAGGAGAAAACGCCAATAGGGTCAAAGGTCAGCATTGGAGGCAATTACACACTGTGTAGTTAACAAAGGACATTCAATTAACTGGTGGAAATTAAAAATTCTCCCGTCCTAGGTGGCTGACTATAATATATGACCTGTACACGTCAAGGTATAATTGATTGTGTTCATTTTTCTTTGCTGAATAGCACACAAATAAGGTCATTTCTGTGTTTAAATAATAAGACTTATATAAAAAAAATTTCACTGTTAAAACTAAGAAAACCATCAGCTATGGCGAAAGAGATTGTACACTTCTAGCCTATATTCTATAGCTCTAGCCTTTTCCCTTAATACCCACGTCTGAGCACGCCCAGACACTTCAACCAGAGGAATGCTCTGGTTTGTGGTTTTCATTTATCCTTGCCACCCTGAAGGACACCCAAGAAATAATGTTCTGTAAAATAATTGCATGACATTTTTAGCCACCCCCCACACACGCACACACACACACACACACACACACACACACACACACCCATCTGAGTGATGATCGCTAAGAGCCAGGGGTTTGCAGCTGCTTCACTATCATCATTAGAAGCAAGTGGCTTTTACAGTAATTATTGCTCCTCTTAGGATTTGGCCCCGTGAGCCTGGGCATATCAAGTGTCTCTGTACTTCATTATATCCTGACAGGCAGCGTGTCAACTTGCCCCATCCTTTCTTGGTTTCCTAGTTACCATAACTAGAGATGCTAAATCAAGCATTTCACTTCCACACATCCACTTTGCAAACCCAAAAAAAAATCTCTACATTGTGGAAAAGTACACATACTGCAGAAAACTAGTTCCAGTCTTATTTCATTGTAGTCTATAGTGTAGCATCCCAATTTATTCAGGGTGCCTTGAAAAAGTGTGAGGAGGAGGACACCACCAGTGCACGCTCACTGGCTC